AAACTGGTGACCTTCTTGCTGCGAGGCAACAGTGTTCACCACTGCTCCACCCTGCAGCCCTGGTTTAAAACAGGCTTCTGCAAATTTATAACACTGAAATACAGCATCAACTAAGCTGGCTCCTACATATTTTTTCTCTAAGGGGTCTTTTCATGCATGGCACAGGAGGCCTGCATCAGTTTCTTACGATAATTTACAACATTTAACTTTATACTGTGACTGCACTGTGCACAGCCCTGAGTAAAGTTGTGTTTAATCAGATCACCTCTAGCTGACTGATTCACAGAAAGTCCAGTGTTTCATTTTAGCATCGACTATTAGTTTTTTCCTGCAACTAATTACTTTGATGCTTCCACCCGTCATCATGCTAATGTGTACTGCTGCAATTAAATACAGTCTGACAATTAAGCATCATCTTGGCTTAAAAATAAATAAAATTAATCATATGATCCTAACAAAAGACAACCAAACGCTACATTAGCTTAAGCTTTTTGCTCAAATTGACTTAAAAAAAATAAAGAAATTCGATTACTGCAATTTGTGTTTCAGTTTTTCCAAGATGTGGGATCTACTGAGATACTATCAAACTAGTTGTAGCATCATTCTATTATCAAAGTCTTAAACAGAATCATGAAACCCACTCAACACACACCATCAGCAAGTATAGGAACAAATTTATTTCAATTTAAAACAGATACCTTGTCATTATGTTTCTCTCTTAGAAGGCGGCAATGATCATAAGTCATGTTTGAATGAGGATCAGGCAACAGTGGTTGAAACAAATACATGAAACACATAAAAAAATATGGCAAGAGTTATGTAAATCAATAATCGATAATAACCAACTGATTGAACCCCCTTCGTCAAGGGCTCTGCTTCAATGAAAACATCCAAGCCCTCACTTCCAACACAAAATAAACAGCACATGCAATTATAATTACAGTTTCTTAAAAAACAGCAGATTATCTTTTAAATCTTCAATCTTAAATACAGAATAAAGTCTTTGTGTGTACTTAATCATCTATCCTTTTAGTCTCTGGTGTGTTTTATTTAAAAAGGGGGACCATCTCAGGCGGCGGTCCTTCTGATAATGACCACAGCGTTGGCACTTAGAGAGAGCCTGGCTCTAGAGAGAGTGGGGTTGGCACACTCAGTATAATACATAATTTACATTTGGTTTACATACAAAATAAAGAGAGAGAGAGAGAGAGAGAAAAAAAACAGTATTTTATACACACCACTACACAATTGACCTTCAGGTTTCATTGGAGTGAGGAAAAAAATAAATCAAGTGGTCCTAAATAATAGTGTTCTGGTAATGTCGTCTCATCAAACAAAGAAAAAAACAAAACAAAAAGGGGGAACAAGCTTTAAGTTGAGTATGCACCAACTTCATACTGATGTCTGAAAAGATAAGTTTTGATTCCACTCAGTCCGACAACGAGCCCACGGGAAGGGGCGCCACACCACCACGGCCACCCAAAGGTCACAAAACCGTATGAAGGGCCAGCATCGCCATCTTCCGTTAGTCAAGGCAATGAAAGGCAATAAATAAGTGTTGTAGTGAAAGCCAACCTTTTTCACGGGTTAATGCTAAAAAAACAAAAAAAAAAAACAAAACAGACAAAGAGTGAAAGATTAGAGTTTCATACAGACTTGCCTTCCCTCTTTCCAGCTCGTATATGTTGAGATAAAACGCGTCAAAAAACACACACTGTGCAACGCTGGGCTGCTAACACGCTACCAAAACCCACACTGACAGCCACTCGGCCCTTCGCCACGTGCCAGAGTTGTAGAGTCAAGTTTTACAAAATACATGGTTCGTCACCATTTAAAGTGAGCTGCACTCAACACACAGTAAATATTAAAACAACTACTGATAAATACTTGGGTATGCATACTGGTTAATCGTTCCACATTAATACTGGCTTCCTGATCCTCTTTAGCAGGCTAACGGTTGGCCGTCTGCTTCCTCAGCGTGAGCTTACTGTCACCGTCAGCAGAAATGATGGCAGTTAAGGACCATACTGGTGCTTTTTCCAAAAATAATAATAACTCAGCCCCGTTTTACTGTCGTGTTCAGACTTTACATAGCGATTTAGCATTTTGGAAGTTTACCCTAGATTTAAAAATTGAACCGCTAACTTGATGGTTTCATCCAGAAAATAAACTTGGAACAGCATGAAAAGCAGTTTTAATTTTCAAAAAGGTGAATAAAATGTGTCATTAGTGGACTCATAAAGATGATTTCCAAAAACCTAAACATTAAAGGGGATCTGATGTATTCAAGTTCTTGTAACAAACACCCAAGAAACCTTGAAAAACATTGAAGAGGCAACAATTTTTGATGTGAAAAATGGCCAAATTCACATTAGTGGTCTTAGATTAAAGAAAATAAATCAGTCTGTAGACCGAAATATACGCAAAGACACCAGCATGGTCTTTAAAGATTGCTTGGCTCTCGTCTACAACTCAAATACTTGGGGAAACATGCAATACTTTGTCCTGGTAGTAGTGTCTTTACTGATAAGTGTTTGTACACTGCACGCGGTATCACAGGTAACGCTGCGATACCGATGCAAACAAATGAAATGTAGTGAAGATCAGAGAGGTGCCAAAAGGACCAGATACCTAAAGAAATACATAAAGAAAACTGCTTAGTGTTGGTAAACTCTCTACACACACCTTACGTTTGCATTAACACCCTGCCTATACTTCTTATAGCACATACTGCGAGTAATCTCCATTTATAAACGAGTATTAGTAGTGGATGACTTGGTTCACTGTGGTCCTGTACTCCACTCCCCGCTGTCTGATGCAACTGTGATAGCCCTTAATGAGGATGAAGGGTAAGTCACCTGTAGAAAAGGTCAAAGACCAAAAAAGTATATCTGCACTTCACTGGCACTATTCAAAGCAAGCCTCAAAAAACTGGAAATTAACGATGCAAAAAACCAACAACAGAATTTTCGTGTTAAATTACAAATAGCAAGCATGGACCGCAGAGGTCTTCAATCACTGATTTAAAAAAAAAAGAAAAAGAAAAAAAAAAAAGAAGTCCACCTATGTTCGTACTGTACATTTTTCTAGGTATGCATTACAGCGCTGCATCTATAAACCGAGAGGAAATAAGAGTTTTTGTCTTTTTTTTAAACCCAAAAAAAAAAGGAAAGAAAAAAAAAAGTGTGAGGGCTCCTAAAGAAACCAAACAGTATTATAATGGATGGAGATGCGATGGCAAGTACAACTGGAAATGTCTCAATAAGAAATAGAAAGCAGAGATAAAGTCCTTACTATACCAGACATTCGGTTATTTTTTTGTGTTTTTTTTTCGTGTTTTGTTTTTTTTTTGTTTTGTTTTGTGTTTTTTTTTTTTTTACAGCAGTTCAGACTCAAGTAGGCTCCGTCATGAGAAAAGGAGCACTTCAACATGACAGAATCAAAAGCAGTCAAATTATCAACACCTTCAAACCTGGTCCATAAATTATATAAATAAAAAAAAAAAAATCTTTAATTACTCTTAAAATCATCTTGTCACCATACTGTGAAGATTTTTTTTTCTTTTTTTTTTTTTTCTTTTTAAACCAGCCCTAGTTAGTATTACTCTGGAGACAGAGCTGTTGCAGTAGTGTGGTGTTCTGAGGCTGGTTGGGAGGAACCTCTTTTTTTCTCTGGCTATTGCCGCTTGCCGATCGCTTCCTCATCACCACTCAGCTCTGTGTAGTCCTATTAATCAAGTGAACAAAATCCATAATCACAGTATCAATACTACCATAAATTCATAGGAAAAAAAACTGTATGCTAATGAAAGAAGTTGATACTTTTTAGTTGTTTTTGTTTTTTTTGTTAGTTTTTTGCCAAAGATGGTGTACCACAGAGCGTTTTTGTTTTTTTTTTTTGTACAGGAGTGTTTTGTGTATATGTATTTACAAACAAATATACACAAACAACATTTGCAGACTTCAGAGTGCGTTTTCTGTGAAAGGTTCATAGCCCCCCTTCCTCTCATCACAACAGCAAGCAATCTTTTTATAAACAAAGTGACTACACAGTTTAAAAAAAAAAAAAAACAAAAGAAGAAAAAAAAAAAGGTAAACAGAAGCACATCCTGATATAATGGATGACTATGTCACCGTCAGGAAGTGTGTCTGATTGGACGGCTGAGTGACGCAGGTGTGACGTCATCAGAGATGTTCCCGCGTGGATTCTGCTCACACCCCGGCGTGTGGGCATGTTTCATTTACAGCTGTTACTTTGTTGAATAAGCTACTTGCAGCCCGAGCTGCAGATGTGCTCTGTGGGCTGATAAACACTGATGACATCACACTCCCCTCCGCATCGGCCTTCCACCAATCAGAGCAGAGCCATGTCAACAAAAAAAAAAAAGAAAAAGAAAGCAGGGTTCCTCTCACCCGCTACTAGTGTTTTGTAATGAGGGTGCGTGACCAGTGGAGCCAGATGCTGCGACGGTCACACGGAAGATTGTCCCTGTGATGTCCATACAGAAAAACATCTGGAGGAGGGAAGCGTGTGATTAACCTAAACATCAAAAACAACAGAGATCTTATAAGGATACTTCTGTCAAGTAAATTTCTGGTTGCTTGTTTTTTAGATTTTTTTTTTGTTTGTTTTGTTTTGCAAAAAAGTTTTTATAGATTTTCTTACCATTTCTTATCATCTTTCCATTTAGCCAGTATTTGTTAAATAGAATTAGACGTAGCAACAAATTTCTATCATTAAAAACATTTTTAAAAAATCTCGGCAATGAATAGATTTTGATTAGCTATGTCTTGCCCCCTCGTGCTTTTTGTCTTAAGTGTGTTTACATATGCATTTACTTCATAATATATATTTCTATTTTTTTCTTTTTTTTGCGATTGCGATGCTCACACCGGTGGGTACATTCGTAGATGCGAGGTGGAGACAGAATCCTCGGCCCTGTCCCCTTGTGTCTGGTGTGCGACCTTCGCATCCTGACTCGAGTCGCTCTTGAGCTCCTCTTCTTCAGCACCGCTTGGTTCTTGGGTGTTGTCGGGAGATACAGTACTCGCTTCCTTCCACGATGGCAGGAGCGCTGAAAGGAGATGGCGGAGGATCTGATCTCGCGCTGCTGAGAGTCAACTCCGAAAGGGGCCAAGGGGGTTTTTGATGCCGCTATTCACCAAAACACAGCTCCTCGCTAATCAATGCTGCCCCAAATACACACACACACATACACGCACGCACATACCAAAATCCCCTCCAGTCACTGTACAGCCCGTGTGAAAGGTTTGTGTGCCAGATAAAATGTGCCAGAGCCAGCAGTCGAGGCCAAATCTGACACACGGAGCAGCTTTGGGAGGACCGAAGACTCTGACACAACAAGCTGCCAAGAGAAGGAGGAAGAGGCTTTGGTGAAAGAGGAGGGGCACGTTTGCAGGTGGGAGGGTCTGTGAATTCACTGTACTGGAAAAAAAAAAAAAAAGAAAAGCAACGGTTCTGTTGGAGTGTGTGTGTGTAGGTGTGTGTGTGTGTGTGTGTGAGTGTGTGTGTGTGTGTGTGAGCCGGAGTGGTGTGCTGTGTAATGCGTGTGGAGTTGACAGCACATTCCCAAAGAGGTGTGCATTTGTGCAATGGGGAGGAGATGTGCATCGTACGCGAGCCCTCACACCAAGTTGTACTCTTTGAGATTGAGCTGTAGGATGGTGTCTTTGACAGCTGCAAACACAAAGCGGATGTTCTCAGTGTCCGTGGCACAAGTGAAGTGAGAGTAGATGATCTTGTCGCTGTCTGGGTTTAAGTCCACAAACATCTTGAGGATGAACTCCCGCGCTGCCTGTGCATCCCTCTGGGGACCTTCAATGTAGAGACACACACACAAGCACATGTAAACATGCATACACTTCACACCACGGCCGTCTCTAAAAACGCTTTATGATATCTGGATCTACTGTATAACACACACTAAAGCACTGTCACACCTGTCGTTTCACTTTTGTTTCATATCAGGGGAACTGAACGAACTGTTCAAATGGATTTTTGAACTAATGCTGCTTTCAGTGGCAGCTGAGAACTTGAAATTTCCAATCTCTGACTAGGAAAAATCGAAGAGAAGTTTGATTTCCTACTCAGCAATTCAGGACGGGTTTTCAGTCTCAACTCTGGCGCTTGACGTCATTCCCCAAACGCCTACACAGGAAACGGTACGCAAGTACAGCTTTATTACTGACTGAGTTTAAAGCCTCGCTCCAGTGAAAATCAAGTTGTTGTTTTTCTACCTTGTTGACATGCCCTAATGATGTTTTTTTTTTTTTACCCTTAAAAACACATCATGTCTGCAATAATATAGTCAATGTCATGGCTGAGCATTTCCGTCTAGGAACTGCAGTGTTCCAATGACAGCTTCAAAAACATGAAGTCAGACTTCTGAGGCTTCATGTGTAACCGATCTCATCTCCTTACAGGGTGGAGCTTTCTGTATAATTATTCTTCTTTGGAATTGTTTTTGGTTTGAACACATACGACCGATTTGCTCTCATATTACAATTTGTGTTTGAGTTGTAGGTGAGCTGGTGTGCTCCAGCTGTAGCGACTGGGGACGGTGTATGGAAAGAGAGAGAGTCTGACTTTATAGATTTGCAAAATCTCAAAGTAACAGTGTAGAGTGCCACTTCAGTCAATTTGAGGCAAGAAAGGACTATTTCCATGGCAGAAACATCTCAATGTGTGTTTGACACATTGATTTGAGTTTTTATAGCGTAATCAGTGACTAAAGAGGGTCTTTAGAGCCTTTTGTGCCTTTTTCACAGTTTAGTTTCATTAGAAAATTGAACTACACAAGTGTTGGCGAGTGACTGCTGCTTGCAGAAAAGCAACAACTAAACCTGGAGACAGCCATGTTGTTTCCCTACTTTGTGCATTGAACATGCAGAAGTGAAGAAAAGAGTAATTTCAAGGCCTGATTCCCAGTTCTGAGGTACAGCATAACTCATTCACAGGACAGCTTTGGTGACATCAGCACCAGGAGACAGCGAGGCGCACAAGATTAAGTGTTTTACTCCACCATGTGTTTATCTGTCTTCCCAAGTACACGCCCTTTGAACTGCATGCAGCCCTGTCACCGTAATCTGGACTGTCAATCACTGCATGCTTATCATTCTCCAGATAAAACTGATTAAAACATGCCTGTCTAGCTAGCTACCTATCAGCTACCTTTCCCCCATTGGAGTGGTTGTGCTCTGAGCTTGATGTTGAGGCCCAGAAAGGAAGCAGGAACTTGACAATACATTGGTCACTATTGACGTTGAAATTATGGTTAAATGTAATGATCTGGTCCACACCAGATTCAATTCAACAGTGTGAAGCAATGTCTGTTCAAACCAATGTAGTCTGAATATCATGGAGACATTTTGTAGAAGCACAAACGAATTAATCTGCTAATCAACAGTACACAGTGTTTTCACATCCTCCTGTAAAGATCAGTCAACAGCAGTAACGTCGTGACGGGTTTTCTTGGAAGAAGAAAGCCCCATTATCAGATTTAAATTTCTAGAGGGAACCAAACATAAATAAATAATATGTTTGATTACTCAGTGCACACACACACACACACAGCAGTTTATAGATGATCTCACCATCAAACTCAGGAAAGTAGTCCACCAAGTGCGAGTAGGAAATCTTCTCCTCAAGCAGGTCCTTCTTGTTGAGGAAGAGGATGACGGAGGAGTTTTGAAACCAGGGGTAGGTAATGATAGTCCTGAACAGAGCCTTACTCTCCTCCATACGGTTCTGATGTGCAATGATGGGGGTGGAAGAACAAAAACAAGATTCACGTTGTTTGGCTTCAATATTTAAAAGACAACACAAGAAACTATATTACTGTTTTAGCGTATGTATTTTTAAAATGAATGCAGATACTACATAACACACACAAGCTGTCCATCCACTTACCTCATTGTCGGACTCCACCAGGACCTGGTCATACTCACTCAGCGCCACCAGAAACATAATGGAGGTGACATTCTCAAAGCAGTGGATCCACTTCCTCCTCTCTGACCTCTGACCCCCTACATCCACCATCCTGGTGATAAGATGACGGTGAAGAGGAGGATAGCAAGTGAAAAAGCAAGAAGGGAAATAATTAGCATGTAAGTCTGGGTGGCCTAGTTTATGTTAAGTGATCTATTTAAAGATCAGAAGACTAACAGCGCCCAGTGCTAAACGGGTTAAACAAAAGTTTAAGCTCTCAGTATTCCCAATGTCCTGGAACAGCTCTAAGAACTACTTCTTGCTGTTTCGACGTCAGGTTTTGAATCCATCAAGGCACATTTCGTGGCATTATCAGATTGTGAGCATCGTATCTGTGCCACTACAACAAAATGCATATGCTGCAGATGAACTCTCTAGAAGAATAATCACTTTATTGTTCTAGATTTGTCTCAGGTCCAGTCGTCCTCGAGACAGCTTCTAGTGTCCAAGTCTTCCTTCTACATTTTCAGCACATGACCTAAATAAAGATAGAGCCTCTCATCCAGGGACTGATGAAAGCGTATTTTTACTATAATTTAAGGAGACATCAGAAGTAGGCCTCTCACCTAATTTTGGGTCCTGACCATTTGTTAAAAGGGAATATTCTACAGTCCCATGAACTTCACTGTAAACACGACACTTGATGGATTCAACACCTTAAGAAGAGGATCAACAACGTTTCACAGCAAAAGTGGACAGGTCTTGCAGTGCAAATATGCATTTGTTGTTTTAACTATGTGAGTCATGCATGCCACCACGAAAGCTTTCCGTCTGAGATAGACCTACGATCAGTTTTAAAAGGAATCCCACTGAGTTTAGGAAACTCTGTTATCTTTACTGTTTGCTGAAGTCCTACTCAGAACAGAAGAAACGTCTGAAACCAAAAACTACAAAGATCAAACTGATATCAATTGTTTGGAGTCTCACCACATATATGATGATAATATTCTGATGCTTTTGTTCACACAAAGTTTGTTTTCGTAGTTAAATGGGTGTCTTTAGTCCAAGTTAGCATAACATACCCGCTTCTATGTCGTACCTCAATAAACTGTATTTGTATGAAAAACTGTCTGTCTCCTTGGTATTTGTAACCAGGTTCAATAGACAACGGTGTTTACAGAAGGCACCAAAATATGCAGGTGGCGGTGTCGTGGATTTTTGTGTATCCGGTGGTCTCAGATACATTTGTGATAGAAACGCTTAACTAGAATTCTTAAACTCAGTGGCATCCACCTTTAAACCCCTTATGGTCTCACAAGGAGTCGACATTATAACTGAATAGACCAGTCAGTCCTCCTGTTTGTGAGTTTTTGGCAAAAGTATAATACCACATTTATTTTTCTACTACACAGCTTTCTCAGCTTTTCTTGGTGTGCGTGATAAAGTACCACATAATGAACACTTGTCAAGTTTTGAAACACACTTGGAGAAGACAAATGGGGACTTAAAATGAAGGACAAAAGAAAAACCGGAGAGGAGTGCATAGACAAAGGACAGAGGACAAACAAAGGACAGGAGGCAGAGTTGAAAAGACAGTAAAAAAAAAAAACTACAGGGGGTAAACCAAAAATGATCCTAAAAAGTTGGATTTAAGTGCACGTGCCTGCAATAGACAGGCTGGTGACCGCAGAAGCCATTCATGGACAGCACTCCAACACTGACAGATTACGTGAGTCCTCATAAGGTTTCAGGTTACCTGAGCTTCTCCTTGACAAGGTCACCCTTCGTTCATCAGGGACTTCAGGTCCCAGTTTCATTAAGCCTTCATTTGAGACAACTGATTCAGTAAAACCTTAAACATTGAGCCACGTTTTTCTGTCAAAGCATTACATAAAATGGCACTGGTAAAACTCAATGCCTTGTTTTGTATATTTTTTGGCGCGTCTGGATGCACAGGTGCTCGCCTTTAGACCAGGTGCAACGCGCTCTCTGAGAAAGCTGCACGTATCAGCTAAATTTCATAATGCAATGGTGCCCCCTGGTGGTGGCCCAGTCCACTGTGGTCCACAGAGACCCAGGGCCAATATAGGCCCTGCAGGACCTGCTGCCCAAAATAACATTCCTCCACCGCGGAGAGGACGACCTCGTTTCTTCTGCCAGCCGGAGAGAAGAGGAGGAGAGGAGGAAAAGAGGAGGTGACCCATTTACAAGGACCGGGCACCAGAATGTAGGACTTTATGTTCATTAGAGGGTTGTGATTTGTGTGGTACGATTGTTTCTTGGTGGCAGCAGGTACGTCTACGACTACGAGGAGATTCTAAAATGGTGATGACTTTGAATTTTTATGATTGCAGGGAAGAGCTAAGAAGAGGAAAATACAGAAATTAAAAGTTGCGGGTTACAAGTTGTTTGCTTTCACGGGGAGGACAAAAAGTAGATTGGTTTGGGCGAGGAAAAAAAAAAAACAGACTGAATGAGTTAATGATATGAGAAAACATGGAGGGACGCAGCAACAACAGGCATCTTTCTACCTGAAAATGATGCTTTGCAAGTCGAAGGGGTACTCTATGATTCCTGTAGTGGGGATGCGCACCCTGAGTACATCCTGCTGAGTGGGAAGATAGTTGGAATCTGCAATACGATCCAGATCCGAAAGATAACTACAGGAAGGCCAGTCAGGAATAATGGAGAGATAAAGAGGGAAAAAAAAGACAGAAAAACAGTTATATAAAGCGTGATAGGCAATTACCGCAACCCGCCTGCCATTCCAGGAAAGTGTGGATCAGTCCTGTCGAGGAAGATTCACAGAGAAGGCCACATCACGGAAACAAGGGGGTGTTAGTTAGTGCCGCTGCTCCACCTGCACTGTCCTTCCACAAACCCATAAAAACTTTTTGAGATCAGCCATCAGCTTCTTTCTGTAGCTTTGACTTTACTCGATTCCGAAATCAATTAACGCTGAGGTCAAATATTGTGTGCATGATGGTGCGGACAGTGAGGCGGCAGCAGTGACAACAGCAGTGACTTCAGCAGCAGAAACAGCAGCACTAGTATCAGATAAAAAAGAACTGGACAAATCTGACATCAAGGATTGCAGGAAACATTTTCTCCTTGTCAAAAGGCATGTCAATGTGCCATTTCATGTTTTTTTTTTTTTAAACTGTGTCCAATTGGCCGACACATTTCATGACAAATTCCTGGAGAATCTTTGACATCGCTGCCTAATCCTTCTTCATCTTGTATTTCGTGGCTGCTTCCCACACACTTCAGTGCAGGTTTTAGGTTTTATCCTGGGGCCAGAACCTCAGCACGATTCTAAACACAAACCACTGATTTCTAATCAGGTGAATCATTTTCTGTCTACCTCTGGAAAAATAGATCTGCTCACACTAATAATTTGGGGGCATTTAAAAGTTTGTAATTTGTGTTGTACTGCCACTTGCAGGATACAAGACATATTTCCCTCTTTAGGCCTTTATTTTTTTAAAAAAAAAAGAAATGACTACAATAAATCTTCGCTCTGAGCTCGTGTGCTTCTACACTGACAGCCATCAGTGGTTTATGTCCTCTAGCCATGGTGATGCTGCAGTCCTGGTGCCTTAGGGGTACCTGAAGATGACGTTCTCCAGGTCAAATGGGTACTCTATTATACCCGTGGTGGGAACACGGACCCTCAGCACATCCTGCTGGGTGGGAACATATCCCTCCGCAGTCACACGGTCTATATCGCTAAGGTAACTGGAGATATACATGAACAGTGTGGATAACACTGAAATGAATACATATTCAATGATAGGTCATTTTCTCATATGCATGCAAAAACAAAAACATTAAATACACATTTAACATCACATTGCAAACACAGCGCACACACCTGCATGCATAAGGGAAAAATCTAACTGCAGTACAGCCAGAGCACAACCAGAGGGCACTATAAAGTGAGTCAACTGCCTTTGGCCATGTAGCCTGGGGTCACAATATAATTGTGGTAATAAAAAAAATAAATCACCACAAAGGAGGAGGCTGACACATTTGGCCACAAACAATAAGGTGAAAACACAATAGGTGTTCACTTTGCCAAGTTTTCTTTTATCTATGGGAGGGAGAGTATTAAACACAAAGCTAAACCTGAAAATGATTTAGTTGTCTTCGCTAGTCTGTGAATAAAGAATGGAAACTCCTGGGGAGAATAAATATCAAAATCTTTGCTAAAATGTTTTTAAAATAGAGTGTATTTATTATTTGTTTGACAGTGGAGTATATTCACATAAAGCAGCATGTACTTATGTGCCAGGAGAGAGGCAGGATCGTGACTTCATAGTCACTGTTCTGCTCTATATTAGCTGGTCAGGAAACCTCCACGACACGTAGCACTACTAACAAACGCCGTCATTCCAAACTACTGGAGATAACGTAACTGAAACAGCGTCAATTAAAAGCCAAATAGCGCCTGTAATCTTGTACCTGTATGTTTTACAATTTTAATACCAGATTGTAAAATTGTGAAAGAGGGCTGATTTTGAAACCAGTCAACCAATGTTGCATGTGAAGAAATGGCTAATGTGCTGCCCTGCCTAGCATACACTACAAAAGCCACAAGGTAATTATACACAGGACATGCACACAACAACGTGACACCAACCACACATCCGTGCACACCTTTATCACTAACAACTGTGTGTGTCTTACAGATATGAACTCAAAGGGTCACGAGCACCAAAATCATTAAAAATACACATATTTCTCAAATTACCCCGAGAGTATCGAGCTGTGCATATAGAAACAATGATAAGTTGAAAAATAAAAAATCTGCTTCCTTTCATTTTGGTGAACTGACCCTTGAAACTTCACCTGCAGACACACACAGGTTCAAACTGACATTGATTAACGCGTACACACCCACACCATTTAAAACCCTGCATGCATGTGTGGTTGCCATAAACAAACGCACCCATTTCATGTAATCTAATGGTATGCGGAACTTAAAAACAACAACAAGGGGGCTGCTCTACGCAGGTTTGGGAACTGAGACATTTATCATTTGTCATTAATTGTCTATTTTTTAAAACTCTATTCTGATTTTGGATTTACAAAAGGATTCCAAACCAATCTTTGCAAACTTTAGCATTCTGCAAAAGCTAATAGCTAAAGTTCCCAAACCAGCATCACAGACACATGGCCGCAAATATTACATAAGCGCACACACAGATTGTGTCAGATGTTCGTAAATACCATTCTTAAATCCTAGACAGACATCATGCCCATTGTGTACACAGAGACGCAACCAAATACAGATGGACAGACGTACTATTTAGTGGAGTCAGAGAGCTGGTACTCTCTGCGGCGGTCGTAGGCCTCCTGGATCCCCGGGTCGGCCCACAGGCTTTTGATAGCTGCGATGTAGGGATGGTCAAACCCGTTGATCTTCTCAATGTCCACCTCCTTCACAAGCATGGCATTAGACTGGAAACACACAAGTAAGGGAACAGGAGGCATGATAAGTAGCAGAGAAGATTTTGAGATGAATGACACAATAAGACATACAGGAAGAAATACCAGATTTGTTATTTCCATCCATCTTGAGCAGAAGACTTTGGATATATCTGTGAATATCCTCCTCACTGTCTGTTTAGACCTAGCGGCCGATCCCAGCCACCCACCTATTCTACTTATTCCAAAGATAATGTTTCAGCTAGACAAACTAAATGCATCACTTCTTGCGTGCCAGAAGTTTTTCCAAGGTAAGGCATCAAACACACAGTTGGTCTGACTCAGAAAAATGACAGATGAAGATAAATGAGGAAGTATGAGCAGCTAAACTGACATTTATATAAAAATGTCATCGATACTGTTAAGAATTGGTCCACAATGTTCCTATCCTTTCATCAGACACTTCAATAATTCTAGAGGCCTTTTTTTTCAAGGGTGACCAAGTGCTAAGACTGCCTACTTTTGAGGACACCCACACTAAATCCTTGCCAATACACAAAGCTGCAATACCTGATTAAATAAAATATGACCTGTGTGTGTGAACTGGTTTCAAGTAGATTTTTTGGAAAGATTATATCTGCTTTAGATGAAAATGTGTTTCAAAGTGTCAAACTAAAAAGCAAGCTGATGTGTGCACATACATACAATATTAAACTCAAAGTGTTTCTTTTGACAGCATTACATGACATTAATTAAAGTGAAGACATTTTAAATAAGACTTGGACTTTTTGAAAAAGGAGTCAATCACACAAAACACAAAAAGTCAAAAAAATATAATCATGGCACATGGTTAGTTGTGCCAAATTACAGTTTCATTTAAAGTATTTCTTGCAAAACATAACAAATTACACAATGCAATCATGCAATATAGTTCCCAGTAAGAACAAAGAAGGCTGTCGTCCACGTTTCATATAAAAAGGGGATTCCAAATGGCAAACTTTTTTTTTTTTGACAACACTGAACAGCTCATGGATCCTACCAAAATATTTGTGCAGGTGGATTTCCTACCAAATATTTCTGGTTTTAGATACAGCCTATGGAGTTGCACAAAATCTATCTACGCTGCATACAATATTAAATCAAACTGGACTGTGGAATGCTCTTGCTGCACTTATAGTCACGGGTCAACTCTTACCCGGTTCTGTTCAAATTTGTAGGGGATCTTGAGGGTCTCAGTGGCGCGGATCATGGACTGCATGGAGGTGAAGATGTTTTGGTAAACAAGCCGAATGAAGCCTCTTTTGTCTTCATCGGAGTAGCCGGCTCCATGGATGATCCTCATCTGCTTGATGAAGGTGCTCTTGCCACTTTCTCCCGTACCTGGAAAGGACACAGAGCGACAGAAGCAAAGTTAGCTTGTGGGCACGGTGCGATCGCAATGTCAGGCCTGGTCCGTTAAACATCTAGAAGGATACAAATCAGTCATAAAGAAAAATCCAAGAGGCTCGAGACTAGGGTTGCAAGACTGAATACAAGCATTCAAACCATTCTGTTTGACTACTAAGCAAAGTACTGGTACATAGTGTTACTCAATCCAATAATCACAAATAACAGGAAAAGACACAGACTTCTGTCAAACAAGGCAACACAAACTGTATGACTTTACTGCATACAGACTGGCAATGACATGGAGTTCAGGAAAAGCATTTAGAGAGTATTCCTGACAAAGGCACCATATAAAGTCGTCTTCACACCAAAATAAACGACAATAAATAAAAACTCAAACACTTGGTACTTATGTATGCAAAATCAAGGTAATTGTGGCCACCGTTTTCAGGTTGTCGCTTCAAACTCATTGAAAAGAATGAAAGAAAAATAATGACAGATAATTTGTAGTGTTCCTCTCAACTTACGTTCTCCTTATCTCACATCTATAAGCACACTTTAACCAAGCATTCTAAAGCAGCGTCTACACAGAAAAAGACGAGAGCAGCATTAGCAGTATTCAGTTTTAGGCCATCCAGGTTTTGGAAGCACTCAGAGGTCAATATACGATCACTTTTTGTAAAAGATGCAGCGCAAGATTTTTGTCGAGTCCTTATATAAGTGCAAATGCACACACATTGCAGTGTGAAGCATTACATGGTGTGAATTCTTCAAACATTTTCTATAAAACCTTTTTCAGCAACTCCCACTGAGCTCACAGTTAAGCAATGGTGTCTCCAAATTGTTTTACACTATAATATATGCTAGTCTTTAATCTACATTCACCAATATAAAAGTAGCAGCAAACAAAGAACTCTGAACACTTTTTAGTATAAGACAATTGAGTTCAATAGTATCACAAGCTAAGGCTTCTAAAATGACAATCAAGATCAATATCTTCAACAAAAAGGGAACATTATAACCTTCATGAAGGTAGGACTTATTGCAGGGCTAACAGTATTAATTCATTCATTTTGAAATTAGACTTCCTGTTTGTGCCAAGATCATGAGTACAAGTTAAATCTGTAACCCAAGACAGATGCTCCATGAAAGGCAAAAAAAAATAAAAAATCCAGAAGAGATCCAAGAGCGTGCTCATTCACTTATTTCAGTTAATTAATAAGCAAGGCAAATCAACACGACCTGGTACAAACGAATGCTTCTCTCAAAATGTCATTAATGTGGGATGTTCATCGAAGTCAGCGTTATTAATCCCTCTTCTGAAATTCCAAGTTGATTAGCTAAACTGGTTATGACTGCAGATATGTCAAAGCTTCTTTGTTCAATGTCAGGAAGCTGTCCCACAGTAAAGTGAACAAATCAGAAACATTTCTAGGAAGACGAGGAGGGATGAGTGGGGGGGGGGATATGAAGTAATCTAATGAAGATGATTAAGAGAACTCGCCCTGTATTCTAACGCTGAGCTGCCTCTGCCAAAAGGTGACAGCAGGGGTCGTTGTCAAAGGGTTGCATTCCTTCAGTGATCCTCCTCTGCCCTTCTGAGTCCATATCTGGGTGTAGGATCATTGCAATATTTTAAGTGGTGTCAGGTTTCCAGATTTACACGCATGCGAAGAAGCCTAAGAAAGGACTTGATTATAGGTATTGATGTTGGGTGTTAAAATCACAATCTCTGCACTCAGCAAAAACAACCGTATTTAAGCTTCTCAAGATCCACAATGATTGCAACATAAACCCGCACTTGCTGGGGGGTCTGTTGGGCCTAACCCACATTTTGCACAAGTCCTCTATGCTCTACATACTGCCTAGAAACACCACCCTCAGGGCACGAAAAAGAAAAGGGGGGGGAAAAAAGAAAGAAATAAGCTGATGGCATTTCAGTCCTCAGTGATATCAAAAGGGATCCAGCACATCCATAATATCTGCAAAACTGAAAGGGAAAGACGAGGTGGAAAAAACACACATACACTCATCTCACCACCACCTACATTCAAGGTTTTTGAAGAGCAGCCATATTTCCGTTACCATAGCAACCCCTCCTCTGTCTCCCTCTCTTTTTCGTTCCTGTGTTTTTTTCTCCCCTTTTTTTTTTTTTTTTCAAACCCCTCCCATCCGCCCCTTCTCTCTCCTCTCTTTCGTAGCAGACAGTAAATATAACTGTGAGCCCCTCAGGCTTGCTCTGTGCTCTTCATCTTTTGGTGTACCACAGAGAAGAAGGGCCTCGGCTTCACAGAGAATTTGGGGAGGGGGGGTGGGGGGAGAGAGGGAGCTGGTCTGAGGTCGGTAACGGGGTTCTAACACCGAAGGACTGTAAAAAAAAAAAAAAAAAAAGGTTGGGAGAGATAGCCGCTGCTCTGCTGAAGCAGGGAGAAATGCCTTAATCTCAAATACAAGTTCTGGGTTTCAACTCTCTGTCCATAAGGGGAAATGACCCTCCTCCATCCCCCTCTTCCAACAAAATGTCCAATTTTGGAGAACAGAGACTAGATAGACTCTACCGCTCAGTAAGAAGGTATTATCTTCATCTTTTCTCCTGGATGAATCAATGCCTTGCAGTGAATGCTACATGCTGGGGCCTACAAGGTACTCGGCCTAATAAAAACTGTTTATCTAGCTAACAAAAGCAGTCAAATACAGTGAGTGTATTCTTTGTAATGGGCTGCACTGGTAGTGACTGCAGAACTGTTTCAGCAGAGGAGCAAGAAGATCACTCTTCAGCTAAATGTCTGATTTATTTCTCGTGACCCCGTCACAAGATCTCCCTCCGCTGTGTTCTCTTAACTATCTTGTCCCTCTTTCACCAGACAACACACTACGAGTCTCTGTCTTCCCTTTTTCCTCCCCAGATTGTACCAGCGCCAGCTACAACCATTTCCACGCCCTCACCAACTCTCCCCCACAAATACACTCTCTTCCCCTCTCCCCTCCTCCCTTTCATCACAACCCCTCCTAACCTCCCTTAGGCAAGAAATATGCCTCTCCATTCTCATCCCTCTCTGTCAAGAATTTTGGATATTCATAACTAGAATCCATCCATTCTTTTTTGGTAATGACCTAGAAAAAGGAGGTCACCTTTTAATAGCTCACACACTACTTCGGTTTGATAACGCTTTCTGTCCTAAGCAGCAACGAGTGTGCGAGAGAAAGAGAGCTGAGATTATGTCCCAATGCAACAGTGCAAGGTACACTACACAGCCCACACACTAGTCTTTTGTGGAGCCGATGTGTTTCTTGGAACAGAGCTAGAAGTCTCAGTCAAGGGTAACCTGATGACAATAAGCATACAATTAAAACTTGCTCTGGATACCCATATTAAGAAGAAATAGCGAAATGAAAACAGCATGTACATAGGTAAAGCTATCCGTCATGTAAAAGCGCCAAACGCTTTACCTGTATCCTCCGCTGCCTGGCTAGCTTTCATAAGCCTTTACATAACGCGACTGATGTCAGCTTGTGACACAACACCTGATAGACTTGACACACTGCTGTCTTGGTGCAGCAGTTTTGGTTGAGCCCCTGTAGCCACACTGTCTGGTTATCTGGTTATGTTCCTCTGTGTGTGTGTGTGTGTGTGTGTGTGTGTGTGTGTGTAGGGCCTGCTTTGTTTACACTGTCTGCTCATATCCTATAATTCTTCCATCCTGCTTCAAATGATCACAAAAGGCCTCATGAACAAGCATGGCCACCTCTGCTAAACCCAGCTTCCCTCTGAAATACCTACCACTGCTTTTGATGAACGGAAGATTATCAGCATCACAGCAAACCTGCATGCAAATACACCTATAAATAAAATGGTGCACCGGCATGAACGGTGTTGGCTTATCTGGGTTTATGAACCATCCTTTCATGCAGCACATGACAATCCAATCTCAGCACGGAGAAAACATTTGCATAGATACAGCAGAGGTTAAAGTATAATCAAAACCTCAAAAATGAGCATCGCGCAGGTGTTAGCATTTTTATCTGAACCCTGGAAAGATGCGCTATGATTCAGAGAGAGGCACAAGGCTAACAACAAACTGAGGCGTGGGTCTAAATCTTTCACTAAATTCATCGTGGAAACTGGCCTCTTTCAGACGTACAAAGGAAAGCCAAGGCAGCCCGGAGCTAGACAAGGCACACACCACCTGCCTTACCAACTGCGGACACACAGAACCTGTGGTCAACCTCAAGGCACGGATGTTACTCCCACTGTAAGGGCCCCTTTTTCTTGCAATAACCTGGGCCATGCAGATTGTACACATCTTCAAAAAAAACACACACAGTAACAGGGACCGTTTCTCTCTCAGGTCTGCTGCTGCTGCTTGCTGTCAGTGCCTATTGTGTTTCTTGCTGTCAGGATCCGGGCATAACACTGCTGCTTTGTGCGGATGTCTCTGCATTTGCTGAGTGCGCCACGTACGTGGGTGTCGGAGCTGTAAATTGACCAAACATGCTATAGCATGCGCTGCACACACTCGCGAACCCACATCTTCATTTGACCACCTTAGGACGGCCGTGTCTGTTTACCAGTGACTATGCGCGCTGAGTGTCTTTCTGGTCGAGTGGGAGTGGGTGAGCAAAAAAAAAAAAAAAACATGCTTTACAAAAGATTTGGAGCTAACAGCAGTATTTTAGTTTGCAATACACATACTGCGCTCAGCTGCTCAAACTAAGACCTGCCAAATCCTTGATGTTGACATTATTTCTTAAGCCATTGCACTTATTTTTGGGAATCTCATAATGGAGATTCTGAGAGATAACATCACTGTGTCCACACATGGGCAGAAAACGTTTGCAGATATCCGCTCGGCTGATTTAATGTATCCACTTTGGAAACCATTTTAAAAATTGCCAAGTGTAAGCAGGGTCTAGCTTTCCAAATTCAAGTTGAAACTGAAAAAAAAAAAAAAAATGAAGTGACAGAAGTTGAAACGGTATGATCAGAGAGAAGT